ATTAGCATGGATGCCAGCTTAGGGCTGATTTTCCTCACAAAAAAAAAAATAATAATTTAAAAAAAAGCTTGTGCAGACATTTTTATACAAGCCCTTTAACATCTAGTAGTTCCCCGAAAACTTTGATGTCCTGAAAAATCTAATTATTACTGGTAACTTGAAAAGATCACAGTAATTTATTTTTGTCAAATGTGACTAAAGATTAATGGATACAATCAGGAATAATTTGGTAAAAACATATCAAATGCAGAGAAAGCAAAATTTGCTGTTAAGTGAAGCATCAAATATAATAAAAGAGCAAATTCCATGAATGAACAGCAACAATGCACAATTCATTAACCAAATGCCCACGATTATTTCACACTTCAGAGGGCTACTGATATGATCAGAAATTGTAGTAAAAGGATAAATATAGATTAACTTCAGCATCTCTATACATTTTAATTATAAATGCTACTCCCAGAGGGCTACCAGAATAATAAAAGAAATACGAACTAAGGTTTATCCATCCCTTTTATAAATCATAATTCCATATACATAAAATGAGACATTCAGTCAATTACTTTAAAAGACAGCAATCAATATGCCAAGAGATATTAGCTGTTACTAACTATAAAAATTAAAAATCTGGTCAACATTCAGGCTCTGGAAATTCTTATCTCCTCAAAATCATTGTCACCATTATCATCACTATCATCACCCACAGTCATCTGCTAACGCACTAGTTAATGTCCTGATCACTACTGAATGTCCTGCACTGCCCAAAGAAAAGATGCATTCAGCAAATACTAATAAACTCTAAGTTCCTTGAGGGTAAGGCCACATCTTGGTAGTCTTTGTATCCTCAGAGCTGGTTCAGTACTTGACTCACAAGCAGTATTGTTTTAAATAGGAAAAAAAACCTGGAAATAGCCTAAGGAATCATGAATAAGAACATCCTTGTGATGAATTTTTCAGCCATTAAAAAGAATGTATAATGTTATTATAAACTAGTGTTACTTCAACTTACAAAAAAAGAATGTATACTATATACACGTAAAGATTGATTAAATATACTGTTATTTGAAAGAGACACTGCAAAATAGTAACTTCAGTATGATTTTGTCTATGTTTTTAAAAAGATAAACCTAGAAAAGGCACAAAAGTGAGCACAGGTAAGACTTTTAAAAAGGAGAAAAGGAATAAAAGGCACTTGATAGTGGTCGCCTTACTATTATTGCACTCACAGTCCTTCAACCCACTCGAACTCTGCAAGGGAAGCTGCCTTTCCACCTTCCCTTACCGCCCCCCTACCAGTCCTAGTCTCCATTTAAATAATCCCCTCTGCCTTCATAGTCTTTTCTCATTTTCTCCCTCTATCACTGATACCCAGTCAGTTCTCAATTCCAGATTCTACCCTGCTGTGTATTTTCTCTGCCTCCAATCTGAGCAAAATACTGAACATACACGCACACACATCCTGTGTTGATAACAAATTTACATTTATTAATCTCAGTAAAGTAACCCTTATTCCCTAACACATTCTCCATAAGGTAGTTCTAAACCTTTTCTACACTGAAGTCCCCCTACTCCTATCCATCAGTAGAATATCTCACTTTGTTTTTGTGTGTTTAAGAATAGTTCTTCATGGTCACACAAGCTCCCTCTTTCACACCTTAGAATCTTTGCCCTTTGTTTCCATCTCTGAGAAATTTCTCTTACCTTCCTGCTCAAGCTAAGATACATCTTTGATGTCTCATTCCTTGTATTTTCGCAAGACCTTGTCCACATGTGGCCTCATCTACTTGCATATTAAAGTTCTCCTCCTGCATAGGCTTTTCCCTCTGAGTCTACAGAAACAGTCAGATTGCTCTTATCTTTAAAAAAGAAAAAAGAGGGAAGGGGGGAGGGAGGATGGCGAAAGGGATAATTTGGCACATGTGTGTGGTGATGGGTTGTAACTAGTATTTGGGCAGTGAACACGATGTAATCTATGCAGAAATAGAAGTATAATGATGTACACCTGAAATTTATACAATGTTATAAACCAAAGCTACTGCAATAAACAAAAAATAAAAAAAAAAGTTAGAATTGTATGAAAAACCTGAAATGACTAGCTAAAGTGAGATATGAAGTGGTAAAGTACATTACTATAGTTTCAATTTAAGCATTTTACTTTATACATGGTATTTCTTTTAATATTTTGAATTGTTATTTTTTTCTATTTCAACAATTATTTTTTCTTAAACACATTTAAAAGGCTGATGTGTTATTATTGTCATTTGCCTGTGTGTAGACATAAGACTGTGTGCGCGTGCACATGTGCATGTATGTGTATTGAATGTTATAGTCCCCATTAGATCAGTTTGGATGTGAATTTTCTAAGGGAATTTAGTTTAAAAAACAATTATAAGATTTTTACATTAAATTTTAATCTGATGCCTTTATAGTCTCATTTATAAAATTATTACAGATAAAATTATATATTAAATTTTATATATACAATTATTAAATATATAACTGTTAAAATATGAAAAAAAAGAAAAAAGAAAGGAAGGAAGGGAGGGAGGAAAGAAAGAATGAACGAATGAAGGAAGGAAGGAACAAACAAACAAATGAAGGGAAAAGAAAAGAAAAGAAAAAACAATTCTGGCATATGTAGCTCCCTTCCTTATATCCTACTACATCATCAAATTACCTCCTGTCTATTTCATTTGTCTCTAGACCTCTTAAAAGTTTATGCCCATGCGTACTCCTTCCTATTGCCTATCCATTCCTTATCACCAAACCTAATGCTCTTCAGTATCTCAAAGTGGCCTATTCAATAAATACCACAGGCCTTTCCCTGGCACACCAGACCCAGTCCTGCCTTTCCACCTGTCTCTCATAGTCTCCCCTACACAGCCTGGATGTTCTAAATTGAAACACGTGCTGCCTCCCACATGCACTGACTCCATGCTGCTCCCCCTGCATGTTCCCTCAGATTGGAACACTTTCAGCAAGCAATGTTTGCTTATTAAAACTCTACCTATGCTAAATAGCAGCTATCTGTCTCCTGACCATTCTCTGCAGGTATGAGTACCCTCACCTTTATATGTCCATAATGCCCCCAAACCTTTTGAAAGGCACATATTCTCTATAACGTAATTTCATCTATACAAACACGCACTACAGAACTGTGAGCACCCTAAAGGCGCCCACTATATCAATCATCTTCGTCTTCTTCTGTGGTACCCTGCACACTGCCGCGCATACAATAGGCACTCAGTGAATATTTGCGTAACTGAAATAAAAAGAATTGCTATATATTCCAGTACATAGTATGAACATAACTGGAAGATACCAATAAATATATTTTTCTGAATCCTACTGGGGAAATGATCCTCTTTGACATAGAAAATTGTCACCTGGTAAATTCTAACTCCTGGGATTGGGTAGTCCCAACAAGGCCTCCTATAATGTTGGGAATGTGTCCTCTCTTTCCACTCTCCTTCCCAAGTCTCCAGGGAAGAGACTTGAGTTCAAATACCTTGAGATACCTATAGCTGTTCTTTCCATCTGCTTTAGTAATGTCCAAGGATAACCTGGCTCAAATTATAAACCATAGATGGAGACAGGGAATTATATGAAAATTGGGGTCTGTCTGGCAACAGAATAGATTCCAGTGCCCATATTTTGAATTTACCATGATCTAGAAGTGACAAAAAGGACCTAGTTGTGAAGTCTACGTGGATCAAAACTTAAGTGCGGGTCCCGTGCAATCATAGTAAATCGAGGGCATTTTTTGTTTGTGTGTGCCTAAATCGCATTCAATTTATTTCATTCCTGTAAGAGTAAATTCCACCAGATACGTAAGGCAACTAAATCTAGGGTGGCTGTGGTAGCAGCTTAATCTAAGAACTATTCCATTAATGAATTATTATCATTGAGCACGAAACCACAATGAATCTTGAACCTTAGATAGTAACTAAAAGAATCCAGAGTCTGAATTCCTTGCAGCAGTACACAGCCCAATGTGATGCATCTAAGTACACCATAAAGGATGATTTCTCCAGGACAACTGGTTCTAAAAGCTTTTTGCCTTCAGGTTAATGATGGCAGCTCTAATACTACCTACAATCTATTGAGCTTCTATTTTGTGTGACAAGCACTGCTTTAAGTCCTCTTCATGATTATACATTCTATCCTTACAACAATTGTTTATTGAAAAATGAGGAACCTTAGAGAAATTAAGTAATTTGCCTGAGTATGTGCATGTGTGTGTGTACACATACACACATACATCTGATAAAGTAGCTAAGCCAGGATATGTACCCAGATTTCCTTGACTCCAAACTCTACACTAATAACCACAGGAAAAAGAAACAAATCATTTTATTAAATACATCATATATAAGAGCATTAGTGTTCCATACTAAAATTTCTTTCTTTATGTGTCGTGTTTCTATTTTTCAAGAACTTTTCAGCATGTCTTTCCTAACGCTGGCTAATAGAATAACTGAGACAGGACTATATGTTAGAAACAGTCTTTTCCATTACTCATTCACATAAACTACAGTTTCCTAAACTGCAGTCTGTATTTTACTGGAAAAAATAATTTTAAGAGATACAGGAACAAAAAGAATTATTTTAATAGGTTAATTCATTTTAATAAATCTTTTCTACCCTTCACTGACATAAATGTAATTTCAGGTGATATGCAAATATTTTTATTTCATTTAGATGCATTTACTTTACTATGTATTAAAAACAAATAACCAGAACATCAAATCAATGAATTCACAGGAATATAAAGTTTTCTTTCTAAATAAATTCATTTAAGTGTAAAAAAAGAGTTATATTTAATTTTAAAATTGTTCAAGTATCTACATTAAAAAAATGTGAAGGTGCTTCGCAAAGGATGGAAAATTAGGAAATGCAACAGAAATGTGACTTTACTAGCATAGAGTGCATACTGTGTTTATACTGGGGAGGAAAGAGAAAGCTTTATCCTCGTTACATCCATCCACATCAGGACTCACCTCTGGTGACAGCATCTAGTGCACAGCCACATCCCGTTGCTCCTCCTCCGATGACAAGGATATCGAATTCGGACATGTTTTGCAAAGTCAGTAGCTGAGCTTCTCTGGAAGGAGGCTCCCTGTTAACAGGTTCTGAAATGTTCTCTGCTGCTTTAACATAGGCCAGGTTCACCTGATGGAAAAGCAGACCATTTTCAGTTGTTCATCCAGAATGCCAATTCAATAAATTTTACAATATACTAAAAGAAGAGATTTGCAACGGAGATAAAGAATACCAGGGCTAGACCATAGTCCACAATCCACATGGAGTTATAGGACCAACTGCCTTGGGGGAAAAAAAAAGTCCTTAAAATGCCAGGTGTATTTTTTTTTTTTTCCTTGAATCATAACGATTGAGTCATGGAACACTTGATTTCAGATTCAGTATCTCAACTGGTTGTTTTGGCTTCATATACAGCCAAGTTCAATTGTTTCCCACACCGTACAGCAATTCCCAAATACCTTGCCTAAAACAATTTACAGGAGAACATAAGGAAATGTTTTCTCCAGTAGCAGCAATTCGTTCAAACAATATTTAAAAATGAAAGGAGGAGGAAAAGCACTTTATGACTTTCTGCAATTTCTTAAAAGTATATGTTCTTCATTCCTTAATTCCCCTGATAAAAATATATTCTAGAGTTTGGGGATCTAAAGTTTAAGTCAGTACAACTAAAAAGAATCTGTTTAACAGAAGTTATTATCTAGTTTAAATTATCAGCTAAGGCCAATGGAAATGATATTTTTCAAAGAGTTTAGTCAGAGGCTTACCTGTTAAATGTTTTAATATAAAATTATAGATTTTATATATTTAATATACATGATTTCGATTTTTGAAAGCTTTTACAATAATATAATTAAAGCCAGCCATAGTCCCCCTAAAGAATAATGACCATCCCTATTTCTAGTTCTTTCATTAAAATGTAATTTATCATCCTGAATCAAAAATGATGCTGATCAGGGGGCCGGCCCGGTGGCGCAAGCAGTTAAGTGCGCGCGCTCCGCTGCGGCGGCCCGGGGTTCGCTGGTTCGGATCCCGGGCGCACACTGACGCACTGCTTGGCAAGCCATGCTGTGGCAGCGTCCCATATAAAGTGGAGGAAGATGGGCACAGACGTTAGCCCAGGGCCGTCTTCCTCAGCAAAAAAAAAAAAAAAAAAAAAATGGCAAATTTTAGCTCAGGGCTGATCTTCCCCAGAAAAAAAAAAAAAAAAATGATGCTGATCTTTAAAAAAAAAAAAAAGTAGTTGCCAGAAGTTAGAGTCAAAAGCATAGAAAAATAGATAAGTATCTGCTTTTTTCCAAAAGGCTAATTCTAGTTTCCTTCACTATACTGAACAGTGCTGGCCAACGTTGCTCTAATAGTTAGTTATCCACAGATATGTGACTTCTATTTTCTTTTCTTTAAATCACAGCATCAGCACAATGCATAATGGCAGTGTTTTTCCCCTTCTGCTGTAGGGGCCCCATATGAAGCTCTAAACCCCAAGGCCAAAGCTTATTCAAGAGAAGGTGATCTTAAGCTCTGACCAGGAGATTGTTCTGATAAGTGATTTTTTAGTCATTTAAATAAAATAAACCAAATTGCTCTTTACAATTGGATTTAATTATTATGTCAACTGGATTTCCATAAAAATTTATATCTAGAAGCCACAGAGTACATGGAAAGAAACCTGAATTAGCGTCAGAGGGTCCTAGCTTAGGTCTTAGCACTCTTGTTTACCAGTAATGTGACTTTTGAGACATTCTCTCAGGGCCTTGGTTTCTTCATTTGTAGAATGGGATAAAACCCCTGTGATGTCTCTATCTCTACATCTCTGAGTGGTCTTCAGTCTGAATGGAATAGTGACAGGACAGTAGTTGGTAAACTATAAAGTATCACCAAAGAGTTGTTCTTGTTATTAAATAACTTGATTCCTTAAAAACATATAAAAGGGAACTTTCAAAACATATTTTACTAAGTAACATAAAAACAAAAGGCTATAATCAGGTACCATAATTTTTCAGGCTATTAATTCAGATGCCAAGCCACAAAAATCCTATTCTCCTTTATATAACTCCTCCTAATTATCTGCTAATAACCATTTCTCCATATTCACATTTACATACATTGAAGGTAACAAACTAAATATATGTAACTGCTAGGTGCTGTGGAGAATATAACATCTTAACTCATGGTCTTTGCCTTCCATCATCTAATGAGAGGAAAAAAATATATACATATATATACATATATATAGTATATACATACATAACAAGTATGTAGAAAAAACAAATGCCAAAATAGAGAGAAAAAAGACCAGGCTATGACTATCCAGATCAGGGAAGGAGAGTCTTTTTATTTGAAGATTTCAGTTGGGCCATGACAGATGGGTAGGTCTTGGACATGAGACTGACAAGTGACTAAACCGCCAGGGCGTTTTCACACATCAAAAGAATTTTGCTGACATTTTCTGCTTGGTAAGTTTTCTAGAAATACTTGAGAAATAAATTTAAGGACTATATTATGATATAGTTCATTAGAACTTCGTAATACTAAAAGCTCCATATTCTACTCTGCTAACAGGAGATAAATATGAATATTAAACTCAACTGAATTTCTTCTTCAGCAAGTATGCTCGATCTGATGGGCATCTCTCATGCCTGTGGGTACCTCATTCCATTGACTACACTGTGTCTCCTGTCTTCATCCCCTGCCTCATCGTTCTCACCAGCGTGCTCTAATGTGTCTCATCTTAACAAAAAAAAGACACCTCTTACATATGTTTATAACCACCACCCTAAAAATTCTTGAAAAACCTGTATACTCTTGTTTTTCCTACTGCCTCCTCACCTCCTACACACTCCTCAACCCACTCCTCAACTCACTCTAATCTGGATTTTCACATACACATCAGCGCCACCATCACCACCACCAAAACTGACTAATGTCCACTATGTTGCTAAATCCAACGAGCATTTTTCTTCCCTCATTTTAGTTGTCACCTCAGCACACAACTGACTGTTCACTCACTTTGGCATCTGAGAGACGATCTTCTGAGTTGATCTCTCTCTCTCTCTCTTTCTCTCTCTCTCTCTCACTTCTTTTCACCACCCTCTCCTCGTTTCCTATGGATGTCCCTCTACTGCCCAGTGTAAACACAGAGGTTCCTCTTGGGTCTGTCCTATTCACTCTTCTCAGATCACTAAAAACTCTCTCTCTAGAGGATCTCTTCCACCTCTATATCATCAGATATCTTTTATACCACTTTGACTTCCAATTTCGTTCCCCTGTTCCAGAACCCAGATATCAAACTACCTACTCACATATATCTCAAAATTGAACTGATGACTTTATCTCCCTAAACCTCTTTCCCTTCAATGTTCCTCGTCTCAGGAAAGGTACCATCTAGTGGCTGTGCCACTCTCTTAAGTCCCATATCTGATCCATCACCAAGTTCTATCAATTCCACCAGCTACATAATTCTCACATCCAGTCATTTCACCTTCACTGCCACATTTCAAGTCAAGGTATCTTCCCTTTCCCCTATACTAATATGATATCCTCCTACAGGTCTTCACACATTTACCATGGCTCCTTCCAAGTCATTCTCTACACCACAGCTGGGGTAATCATTTTAAAACCCAATAGATGTCATTTCCACGTGTAAAACTGTTCAATAGCTTCCAACTTAATTTAGGTTAAAGGTAAGCATCTTTACTGTAGTTTCTAAGATTCTTCACAGTCTTTTAGAGTAGCTTAAACTTAATGAAAAAATGGACAATACCAAGTGCTGGTGAAGATACAACACAACTGGAACTCTCTTATATTGCTGGTGAAAATGCAAAGTGATACAGCCATTTTGTAAAACAGTTTGCGAGTTTCTTACAAAGGTAAACATACATGTACCATACAACCCAGCAACCCCCTCCTAGGTAATGACTCAAAAGAAATTAAAACCATGTTCATACAAAAACCTGTAGGCAAATGTTTACAGCGGCTTTATTTGTAATTGCGAAAAATTAAGAAAAACTCAAACATCCTTCAACTAGTAAATAACTAAACAAACTGTGGTACATCTATGCAATGGAATAATAATTGGCAATAAAAATGACAAACTACTGATGGATGCAACATGAATAAATTTCAAATGTATTATGCTAAGTCATGGGTCGGCAAATTATGGTTTTCCACCCAAATCTGGCTGCCACCTGTTTTAACAAACAAAGCTTTATGGAAGACGGCCACCCCCAATCATTCATGTATAATCCATGACTGCAGTCACAGAGTGGAACAGTTGCAACAGAGACCGTATGGCCTGCAGGCCTAAAACTTTTACTACCTGGCCCTTAACAGAAAAGTTTGCCCATCCCTGTGCCAAGTGAAGAAAGCTACACTCAGAAATCTACATATGACACGATTCTGTTTATATGACATTCTGTAAAAGCAAAAGTCTAGGGTCAGAAAACAGATCAGTGATTATCAGGGGTTTGGGGGTGGGGGAGGGGAAGACTGACTACAAAGAGTAGAAGAGAACTTTTGAAGATGATGGAAATGTTCTATATCTTGATTGTGGAGGTAGTTACATGATTATATGTACTTATCAAAACCCACAGAAGCATATATTATAAAGGATGAATTTTACTGCATGTAAATTATACCCCAAACAATACCTCAATAAACTTGACTTAAAAAAATACTAAGTAAATACGTATACAGCAATTGTGTGCCAGGCGCTATTATAAAGGTTTCACTTTTTTTTACTCTTTTAATCCTCACAATAACCCTAAGTTAGGTACTATTATGATCTCCATTTAACAGAAGAAGTAACTGAGACACAGAGAAGTTAAGTAATCAGGTGATGATTATACAGCTGGTATATGGTAGAGTTGGGAATTGAACCTACATAGCCTGGCAACCAAGTTTTACATTGCTACACCATACTGACTGTACATATAATTGAGAAAAAATTAAAAAACAGACTAAATAGTTATAATAGGATGAGCTATCCCCAGCTGTCAAATGCAGAAAGTTTTTGTTTTTTTGGTTCGGTTTTGTTGTGGAGTTTTTGCTGAACAGTCCTTCCAAAAAAAATTTTTTTAAATATATGGCACTATTGAGGGTAATTTATTTAATTTCTGACACTACATTTAAAA